ATTAAAATGACTTAAATAATAAAATATTCTAAAATTTTTTAAATAAAATATAAAAAATAATATTAAACAAATAATATAAATAATATAAAATTTTTAAAAATAATATAAATAATACTCCCTCTATTCCACAATATTAGTTGTTTTAGGTTGAAAATTTTGTTTCTATTTATCTACCATTTTGAGCAAATCAAGATTACTTTAATTTTTATTCCCACTTTTATCCTTCAATAAAGACTTAATGACACTAAGCCTTTAATTCTAAAAAAGAAAAAGACTCTCCACCTTCTTTAATTTCATTTGAATTTTGAAAAACCTACAATATTCAAAATGGTTATTCAATTTCTCTTGTATTTTCAATACATCAAACCTACTCTTATTGACATTTAGATTTTCCATTTAACAATGGTTCTTAGAGTTTTGCCATTGCAAATTTTAGAAAAAAAATCAATGGAAGACAAAGAACCAAAGTAGGGGAAGAAATTTTCGTTAAATGTCGATTTGAATGCCCTTGCAGTAGAAGGAATGAATATTAACTCGAATGCTTCTACAAAAGAAGGAGCATATATTAACTTGAATGCCTCAGCTCGTCATAAATTGAACATCAACGTGAACATCCTTGCTGATCGTGGAATGAATATTGACTTCAATGCTCCTACTTATTGTGGATTGGATTTGGATATCAACTTGAATGCTCTAGAAGATCTTGGATTCACTACAAAAAAAATTCATATTTAGTGACTAAATTATTAGTCACTAAACCTTTATTTTCTATCACAAATTAAAATTAGTGATGAATTTAAATCATTAGTAAAATCTTTGTCATTAATGCTCTTAGTGACGAATTTGACGTCTATTACAAAAAAAAAATTTGTAGTAATAAAAAAATTTTACATTATTAATGAGTTATTTGTAACAAATTTAATCATCACAAAAAAAATATTTTTTTGTTACAATAATTTTCATCACAAATATTACAATTGAGTAACAAAAAAATAGTCACAAATGCAGTTATGATGAAAATTTTAGTCATTAATTATTAAAATTGATATTAAATAAAAAAGATATTTATATAATTACAATACAAATATTGTAACAAAAATTTTGCCACAAAAAAATAATATGTAAATTTATCACAAAAGTTTAATAAAAAATATTATTATTTCAATACTAATAAATTTTGATTAAAATTAATCAAGCTTGATTAATTTTAATCAGGTTCAAACTAATCTCAAGTTTTATTGAGTTTCACATATTTTGTGGTGCAAAAATTTATTTTCTTAAATATTTCTCATCGATGTGGGATATATTTATAGTGTGTGACCTTATTCTCTTATATGTTTTTTATCGATGTGGGATGCATTGACTAGAGAAAACTGACAATTTTTAGTGACAAAATATATTTTTAGTGATGAATTATTTGGTCATTATTGAATGTGTAAGGTATATATGACCAATATTAAAATTCTGTCATAATTGTAATGCATTATAGTGACGATTTTTATCGACAAAAACTTATTTTTATCTCTATGAACATTTTTCAATGACAAAATATATTTTTTATAATGACTTTTTTTCTTCATCATTAAATATATATATATATGCATATGTGACTAATTTTTTAGATTTGTTACAATTATGATAAGATATAGTGATGATTTCAAAATTTATCACAAATTTTTGTCACTAAAAATTATTTTTTTTATAATAATTTGATTTAAACAAAAATGCAATACCACAAGTTTTTTAGAGGAAAAATTGCAGCAGGTATACGAAGATATGTTAAAAATGTTTTAGTGAATGAAGGTATTGGAAACTTGGAATCGCAGCCAAGTTTTTTGATGAACGAAATAACGGATAGAAGAGAAGACCAAAGGGAAAGGAAATCGAGTGATAGATAGAACTCCTAGAAGAAAAAGATAAAATGGTCTTTGTAATTTATTTACCACTAAAATTAAGGATAATTAATTATTATCTTAATTCTTGTGCAAAAAGCTTAAATGACAAATACGGTGGAACACAGGGAGTGCATCAACGACATATTCTACATTTATTTATTTACATTAAGCAAACTGAAAAAGTACATACGGTATTGCATTTTAAAATGCAAATCATTAACTAATCTCATCAACTTTCAGCAACCATCACCGTACATTTCTCATCAAGTCATCTCACTTCCATCATCACCCTCGTTTCTGATTTCTCCTTGTTTTCCCTTCTCCATCCATTTCTTACCCAATTAAATCCCCACTTCCATCATCACCGATTCAACCAACAATTTCTCATTCTCATCTCTTCTCATCCAAAGATCTGTAAATGAGGGACCAAGAGTTGAAATGGAGAGAAAGACACCGGTCATTTGTCATCCCCGCTACCATTTTCTGGCTTTTTCTTAATTTCTTTTACTAAAAAATTTCATATTTGTGGTTGTTTCTTAGCAAAGGTGGAGAAAAGGCTCGGGCTCGGATGAGAGAGGATAACGGTGAAATCAGTGGTCTTTTCCCAATGGCTAGGGGCTGGGCAAGACGATCAAGTAATTAATGTTGTATGAGTAATATTTCAACGTATGCAAAATTTTTGACTGATATGCTGAAATTTGATCGAAAGATTCAAAATTTGATCAAAATGAGATCAAATCTCATACTGTTTCAAATTCTTAACACAAAATCAGTACACTTATTGACCGAACTTGTTAGTATACAAAATTTTGATCAGTACATCAAAATTTAACCTAAACGAAATCAAATCTTATATCATTTCAGACTAAACACAAAATAAGGGCATACTTGTCATACTGGTCAATATGAAACAGAATCAACAGCCCTGCTTTTCAGCATCAAGGAATAAGAAAGCCCCACGTTTTCATGCAAACTAGAGAAAGGAAGGAGCATTTGGAAGACAGCCAAAAATGAAAAAAAAAGGGAGCATTTGAAGCTTTGCTATCTTGAGATTACTAACACGAAGAAAGATCTATCTATCTTGTGCCATCCAAAGGGAAGTTTAGCAAATTCTAAAGGGAAAGTGAGGAATCTTTCTCTCTACATGCCCAAAAAAATTTGAAATAAACTTGATGTTGATAGAAAATAGTTAAATTAAAGTTATTTACCTCTTACTACTTTGTAAATAATTTTGTCGAAATAAAAGAAAAAACTTCGTAAATGGCATATATATAGGTTTGCTACTTATATATATTAGCCCTTTTATTTCACAATAATAGTTATTTTTAATTTTTTTTATATTAAGAGAATAAGATAAAATTAAAATTTTTTGTGATGGTAAATAATTAAAGTTAATTAAAGGATCGTAATATAGTTAAATTTTTTAAAATATATATTTGTTTACTTATAATATGAAAAAAAATAACAATTAATTTGTAACAAATTTTTAATAAAAAAAACTTACTATTATTCTTAGACAAAAAATAACTATTATTTTAAAATTAAAAAGTATTTTTATATAATAAGTATTTGAACTCCTAATATTAACACTAAAACTAAGCTTTTCAATTAGCATAGAAAAACTCAATTAGCTTTAGTTAGTTCATATTTGTTTCATCATGTGAACTATAAATTGGGAACAATAAAAATACTTGCAGAAATTGGGATCATATTAATAGCAAATTCTATCCAACATTGCACAGTAATTACAACAAGATTTTGTTTTCCATTATTTGTTAATGAATTTTTTGTTTTATTATTTGGTTTACACTATCTTAATTATTTGTTGATTTTGTTAGTCCTAACCTAGATTAGGTTACCAGACTTTATACTTTTATCCAAAAAAGTCTTTTTACTTTTTAAACAATTCCACCAATCTTAAGTGCAATTACCACTAATCGTGAAGTTGAACAAACCAAGTAGGACCCATTTGATAATAATTAAAAGTGCGAATTAAAATAAATCCTTCAAAGTTCAAACTGAGGATTGCAGATCTGACCACTGACTGAGTGGCACGTTCGTAATTAAATAGAATATCAGTGACATTTTAAAGAAGTAAACCTTAGTTTACTTATAAAACACGATGAGGAGCTGCGTCTGCAAAGCGCGGATCGTATTAATTTCCCGGTTAAGTTCCCCAACCGGAATAACTACCTGAAGCACTCAAATGACCAAACTATCCATATATTTTCCCAAATTACAACCCCTTATTTCCCTTTTCTTCCTCATCTTCATACCCTTCAATGTAATTTCACAAAGCGTTGAAGCAGAACGGACAATTCTTCTCAAACTTAAGCAACAGCTGGATAATCCGCCGGCGATTCAGTCATGGAATGCCTCATCCTCACCGTGTTCTTGGACGGGAATCAACTGCACTCAAGGTTCAGTCACCGCCGTTTCGCTCCGCAATATGACCATTAAGGTCAAAATCCCACCAACAATCTGTGACCTTAAGAACCTCAATGTCCTTGATCTGTCCTACAATTATATCCCCGGTGAGTTCCCAAAACTGCTGTACAATTGCTCCAAGCTCCAGCACTTAAACCTCTCCATGAACTACTTTGTCGGCCCCATTCCCGACGATATTGAACGGTTGTCGACTCTGCTTTACTTAGACGTCAGTGGCAACAATTTTTCCGGTGACATACCGCCGAGTATTGGCCGATTACCGGAGTTACGAGAACTCCATCTTGACGGGAATGAGTTCCACAATGCCACTTTTCCGGAGGAAATCGGAAACCTATCCAATCTTGAGCATCTGGCTATGGCCTATAATGGGTTTGCGCCCATGAAGATACCTGATAGGTTCAGTCAACTGAAGAGACTGAAGTACTTATGGATGACGGAAACAAATTTAATCGGCGAAATTCCGGAAGGCATCGCGGACCTGTCCAGTCTGGAGTGGTTGGATTTGGCGGAGAACAAGTTGGAAGGCTCGATTCCTAGCAGGCTTCTCATGCTGAAGAATCTGACCAATTTGTATCTCTTCCACAACAAACTATCCGGTGAGATACCCAGACCGGTGGAAGCTTTAAATTTGGTAGAAATTGATCTTGGCATGAATACTTTGACCGGTACCATACCGGAGGAATTCGGGAAGATGCAGAATCTGGTGTTCTTCAGTCTGTTTTGGAATCAGTTAACAGGGGAGGTGCCGGTCGGTTTGAGTCAACCCCCGGCCTTGAAGGTTTTCCGGATTTTTAACAATAATTTGAGTGGAATATTGCCGCCGGAGTTTGGCATCCACTCAAAGCTCGAAGCTTTTGAGGTGTCCAGCAATCAATTCACTGGTCAACTACCTGAGAATTTATGCGCAGGCGGCGTTCTACTGGGAGTGGTTGCATTTTCAAACAACCTTAGCGGACAAATACCAGCGTCGCTTGGAAATTGCAGCACCCTCCGAACCGTTCAGCTTCAAAACAACCACTTTTCAGGTGAGATTCCTCCGGCTCTCTGGACGACTATCAATTTAGAAAGCTTGATGTTGGGTAACAATTTATTTTCGGGGGAATTACCGAGCAAACTAGCATGGAATCTGACCAGGGTGGAAATCAACAACAACAAATTTTCCGGCCAAATCCCAACCGGAATTGGTTCTTGGTCAAATTTGACAGTCTTTCAGGCAAGCAATAATCTCTTATCCGGTGAAATTCCAAAGGAAATAACATATCTTTCTAAACTTATTACCCTCCTCCTCGATGGTAATCAACTCTCTGGTGAATTACCAACGAATACAGTCTCCTGGATATCGTTGACCACCTTGGATCTGTCCGGTAACCAACTTACCGGTCAAATTCCGGCATCAATTGGGTCTTTACCTGACCTGCTCAATCTTGATTTATCAGACAACCAATTTTATGGGAAAATCCCTGCTAAAATTGGCAACCTGCGACTTACTTCCCTAAATTTATCATCCAACAAACTTTCCGGGAAAATCCCTGACGAGTTTGACAACCTTGCTTACGAAAACAGTTTCTTGAACAATTCCCACCTCTGTGCAGACAACCGAGTCCTCAATCTTCCAGACTGCAGTTCCACACTTCACCAACCCCAAAAACTGTCCTCTAAATATCTTCCCCTGGTTCTGGCTCTTGCTGTCGTGGTCACCATTGTTAGTGTTATATTGACCCTGTTCAAGTTCAGAGACTACCGGGAGAAAAAATATCTTGCGACATGGAAGCTAACTACGTTCCAGAGATTGGATTTCACGGAAGTGAATATCTTGCCCAGTTTGACTGATAATAATTTGATTGGAAGTGGTGGGTCTGGAAAAGTGTACAAGATTGGCATTAATGGGTCAGGTGGATTTGTAGCGGTGAAGAGGATTTGGAATAAACAGAAACTGGATCATAAGCTGGAGAAAGAGTTCAAAGCAGAGGTTGAAATTCTGGGCAGCATTCGTCATGCCAACATAGTGAAGCTGTTGTGCTGCATTTCAAGTGAGAATTCGAATCTTCTGGTGTATGAGTACATGGAGAATGAGAGCTTGTATATGTGGCTTCATGGGAAGAAGAGAAGAACAAGTTCTGGGACTGAGATGAATTCTGTCCTGGACTGGCCCAGGAGGTTGCAAATTGCAGTTGGAGCTGCTCAGGGACTTTGCTACATGCACCATGACTGCTCTCCGCCCATCATTCATCGCGATGTCAAATCCAGCAATATTCTCTTGGATTCAGAATTCAAGGCAAGGATTGCGGATTTTGGACTTGCGAAAATGCAAACTAGGCAAGGGGAGCCTCACACCATGTCCGCAGTTGCAGGATCTTTTGGTTATCTCGCCCCAGGTAAGACCACACAATAAACTTATATTGTGATCTTGGATCGAATCCATTTAGGCATTGTTCTAACGTAATAAGTTATCCTGTTTGCAGAATATGCGTACACAACAAAGGTGAATGAAAAGATTGATGTCTATAGCTTTGGCGTGGTACTTCTGGAGTTGGTGACAGGAAGAGAAGCTAACAGAGGAAATGAGAACACAAGCCTTGCAGAATGGGCATGGCAGCGTTACTCAGAGGAAAGGCCTTTGGTTGAATTGTTTGATCTGGAGATTAACGATCCATGTTACTTGGACGAGATGACTACGGTGTGCAAGCTGGGGCTTGCATGTACAAGCACTGCACCATCTTCAAGGCCTTCCATGAAGGAAGTTTTGCATTTACTTCAACGCTGTGGTCCGCAAGAAATTTTTGAAGTGAAGAAATCAGGAAGGGAAGTTGATGTTGCTCCCCTTCTTCGCAGCCCCACTTACATATCCAGTTACAAGGAGATTAAGAGAGGATCAGAGGAAGATGATGGCTACTTGGTCTATAGCGTCTGATGACCCATGGCACTCGTGCAATCCTCTCTCTTATCCTTTAACATGTTACTACTCGAGCTCAATACTTTTTATTTTCAACCAAAAAAAATATATCTTTAAATTATTTAAGTAGTTAAATGTTTCACTTGTCACATAAGTAGAAGCAAAATCAGCAAAAATTGTTATGTGAGGTTTTGCTGTTTCAGCTTTCAGGTATACTAAAAATAGTGAAAGACAATAAAACTTCATTTAGGATAATTATAGTTTTTAATTTTTTGTTTTAATTTTTATAAATTTTATAACTCAGAGCAAGAAACTCTTGCAGTTTCTTATATATTTTTAAAATATTATTACAATTATTAGAGAAATTAAAAAAAAAAAAGAAAAAAGGGTTCTACGGTTTCAGATGTAATCTTGATGGTGTTAGTTTCCAACTGTCTACGTTACAGCAGTTTAAAAAACTGACTCTAGTATAACTTGATCTATAAATTTCTTGCAGACATTTGACAATAGCAGGGTTATCTGCAAGAAAAGCTGTGAGAAGAGCCAAAAGAGGAAAACATTAGATAACAAGAAACAGCTAATGAACTGTATTACAAGGAGGCGTAGTGTACAAAAATTTGAATAAAGGTTTTGAGATCTAAATGATACAAGAATCGAAACCCTTAAAAACCCAAATTGACAACCCAAGCCACAGGTCAATTTACACATTTTACCGCTTAATGATCCATTCTCATAAAACAAAACCAAGAAATATGCCGCGACAGCACAAACAGGGCAGCAAATGACAAGACAAGTGCCCTCAGAGAACCAATATAATTCATTAGCTTCTTGTGTCAGCAGAGCTCTGCACACGGCCTACCACGCTCCAAGCTCATAAAAGCACTCCAGCGCATACCTGTAAAACCATAGTGAAAGCCAGCAATTAATTGGCACTTACCATGGTGCTGGCTAGCTCTCCTTCCGCAAGGACTATTTCATGGCATGCATCACCTCCCAAGCATTAGGCTGTCGACTTCAAACTCAACCTGCTAAAAGGAACCACGAACCAAAAAAACAGTATAAAGAGATCATAATTCCCATATACAAAACACAGGTTTCAAAAACACATGCCTCATCACCGGCTTCTGCAAAGTTTCTGACCTAGCTTGACCTTGAGATTTCACAAACTTCCCAAGTGTGATATTTGGCTACCCAACAAAGACGAAGTTACAAGACAAGTCAGGTTCTGAACAACATTGAAATCATATGAAACTTAGAGGGAGGGTATAGTATATGAAACTTGGAATGGTTTCGACTGCTTCAGCTGAGGTTACATCATTCCTAACCAACGAAAATTCATGTACATCTAAAGACGTCTGCTTGCTTAAGGTAGCAAGATTACAATCAACAGTTTTCCCCAGTTGGTTGGTAAAACCCAAAGTTCCCTTTCCACTGTCTGCCTGCTCAGTTAATGACCTAACCACAGAATTGCAATCAACATCCCCATTTGTTGCGCATTCTGATGTAGCTGCTTCATCAAAACTAACATGAGATCTTCCACCAGACATAATTGTATTACTTTCTGGAGAAACAACCTCAAGCCTCTGGGGACTGATAGAGGCCCGCTTCTCAGGTTTAGAATCTACTAAACCATCATCATGCTTTCTCTTAATTTGTCTCTGCAGAACCAGACTGAGACTGTGTAACATATTCAGAGGTTCTTCCACCCTGCTGGCTTAGAGGCCTCGATGATTGCGGTAGTTTATACCCATCAGGATAAACAAAGGCAGGAAGCTGCTTCCTCCGAGCATGAGAAACAAAAATTTCCATTCCTGGTTTCCAGAACACATACCCATGTATCTCTTGCCTGAACTCTTCAACCGTCCCACGTATATCAAATTGCTGACCTTTCTGACCATTCACTCCCTCTTTCCTCTGCAAGCCCATGAAGAAAGCACAATGTGGGAACTGCTTGGATGTATCTGCATACTCATTTGGGTAAGGATGACACTGCAACATCCCATTTGTGTCTCGCTCTATCTGTAAAGTGACACATGATCTCACAAACATCAACAAGATAGTCC